GGTATGCGCATTCTTTGGTTAATAATGTTAACCAAACCATTTTTCTCTTAGTCTATCCTAATTTTTAACCATTATCTGAAGAATGAAATCATATTGTGAACAAAGAACATACTTCAAAAGAAAACACAGGCATTTTTGACGTCTAATAGGATAATATGTCAATTTCTATAAAACCAATTACCCAAATTTTAATTCCGAAAAATAGATATCTTTTAAAATAGTTATTCATATTTAACCATTTTATCTAGTTTTAAAATAAAATGAAGGATACAAATTTTATTGATCTTGAAATCCCACGATTTTTATTAACCTCGTCTATCTATTTTATTTTCCTTGAAAAACAAAAACCTTTTTTCCTGTAGACTCATCTTGAAACACCCCTTATTATACCTGTAGTTAGCAACCTTAACTGGGACATGGGAAATTTAGCACTAGTTCCTACTGCGAGAAGAACGGCAATGAATGTTTAATAAGTGGCGTTGAGATGGAGGCAGGAAGTCATTAAGTGAAAGCTTAATTGAAGAAGGAAGTTTCTTGAGAAATGTAATAGTTGCTTGGATGTGATTGCTATCTACATTAATAAAGAAAGAAAAGTAAGTTTTAATCGTTTATTTTTATATAGTGGGTATATTACGCGACTATTAATGAATTAAATATTTTCTATGAGTATATTAATAAGAAAGGTAAGCATACTTACCTTCTGATGTATATTAAAGACGTCTATAATTTAAAGTTATTATATAGCATCCATAATTATATAGAGCCAGCCACAACAACGAAATAAACCAAAGTTGTTTTTTTTTATTGAACACATTGTATATTTAACGGTTTTAAATATCTTATAAAAATATGAGCTTGAACATGATTTATGGCCCAGAGTTAATAATTTTTAAAATATTTACACTTTTATTAAGAAAGTGATAATATTTAAATTTCTGTGGATTATGTTTTTACGGTAATTAAAATATAAATGACATGCCAAAATTTTTCTAGTATAGTGTAGTTTTTAAGTAGTTTTTATCATTGGCATCCACTCATCATTAAAAGAATATTTTGTAGTAGTCCTTCACATAAAGTGAACATCTCGATATGTAAAACTTACTGCTTATTTTGGTCTGAAGTTTTCTTCTTCTTATTCCTTCTTGTATGTAGACTTTAAAGCCTGGTTCTTCTTCAATATTAGCCTCCTAAATGGCTTAAATTATCGAATTATCTTTTTTTTTGGTCTACCAATAATTCTTCGTAGATGTGGTGTGTCTTCTTATTTTGTGCTATTCGTACTATAGTATCCTCTGTTATTCTACTAATGTGTTCCTTTCACTCCTGTTTCCGTTTTGTCATCCATCCATTTATGTCTTTCATATTGCATGCTATTCTTATGTTTTCGTTTCTCTCCCTCTCCAATAGACTTTTCCCTGATGCTCGTCGAAGTATTTTCATCTCTGTTGTTGCTAGTAGTCGTCTTGTTTTAGATGTGTCTGGTCTTGTCTCTGCCGCGTATATTATTATAGGTCTAATTGCTGCTTTATAGATTCTTGTTTTTGTGTCTTGTCTTAGGTGTTTATTCTTCCAGATTATGTCATTTAGAGATCCCGCCGCTTTACTTGCGTTTAAGCTTTGTTATCGTACTTCTTTAACATCCCCGTTACTAGTTATATCTATTTCCAGATATCCAAACCTTACCTCATGCTTTTAACATATTTAACATATTTTACAATTTCGATTTTAGATCGTAGTGGGTACATAAATTTGGTTTTTTTCTGATGATATTATCATATTTTATTTCTTGACTGTTGTATTTAAATAATTACTATTTAATATGGGAATAAGTCACAATTAAAGGTCAAAGTACGTTTATTGACGTTTATTTATTACATTTTTTACTATGTAACAAAAAACAAAATTTGTTGAATTTACTGTTTGTATTTTGAGAACGATTTCCGAATTGAAATCATATGAATCATCATAATGAATTGAAGTCAATAAACGTATTTTTATCTTTAATTGTGGCTTATTCCCAGTTAAATAGTAATTAATCTTCATTTCTTATTTTGTCTCGTCGTGTTATTCCTTTGACTCATCTTAGCTATTTCATATTAATGGCTTGTATCTTGATTTTTAATTGCTTTGTTAAAACCCAGCTCTCGCTTCCATATATCAAGATTGGTCGGAATACTGTCTTATAAACTGTCATTTTGGTTCTTCTGCTGATTTCCGGTTTACCTATGAATGCTCTACTAAGATTATGGTACACTTTTGAAGCACTACTTATTCTTTCTGTTATTTCATTCTGCATGGTATCTTGTCTGTCTATTGTAACCCCTAGATATTTGAATGCATCTACTTGTTCTATGAATTGTTAGTTAATTTCTATGTTAACATTTCGGTTAATTTTCGCTATTAGCATCACGTTGCTTTTCTTAACAATAATCTTCATGTCTCTAATTGCCAGCTCATTATTTCAGCTATCTATATTTTTCTGGAGGTCCCTTTCCTTGGAAGCGTATGGCATGAGATCATTTGCGAATGCACACTCAGCTATACCAACCGGTCGTAGTTTACTATATCCGATATGTACTTTGTGTATACTTGCTTTTGTTTCCTTAATTATGTCGTCAATAATCAATATGAATAGTGTGGGGCTCATAACACTTCCTTGTCTTAGACCCTCGTTTATTGCAAACATCTCTGATTCCAAGTTATCCTTACGTACATAACTCTTGTTATTTTGATACAAACTTTTGATAGCACCTGTTAGTTGATGGTCATTATTTCTATTTTGCAGACTTTTCCAAACTACTTCCTGCAACACTCTGCCAAATGCTTTCTCAATATCTAGAAAAGGCATATATATTTCTGTGTTCTATATTCTAGCTTTCTCAATTACTACCATTTCTTATCAATTTACAACATTTCAACGTAAATGTTCACGGCCATGTTCAAAAACATGGCCGTGACTTTTTGGTTATTTAGTTTATAGTTTTGGATATTCTCGTTCACTTTATTATTTTTCGTTTTTTGTTTAGTGGTTTTAGGGGTTTTTTTGGGGTAATCTTTGCCATTACCAGATAGTGGTCACTATAGATTTCCGGGCTTCTTTTAACTCTGACATCAGTGACCTCTTTCCTAAATTCTCTATTAATGAGAACATAATCTAGGATTGATTTTTCATTTCTGCTCCAGACTTCTCTCGTTAACTTGTGTATATCTTTGTATTTAAAAAATGTGTTGGTGATAATCAAATTATTCTCCATGCAAAAGTCTATCATCCTTCTTTAATTATCGTTTCTTGTATCTTTCTCCTTCATACCCAAAATATATATATATATATATATATATATATATATATATATATATATATATATATATATATATATATATATATATATATATATGTTATCATCGTCTCTTTTACCAACTCTGCTATTCATATCGCCTAGAATGACTATTCTACGTTTCACATTTTTTATAGCATCATTGAGCTCTTCCCAATATTCTTCTTTAACTTTCAATGGTTCGTCATCATTCGGGCCATATGTGACTAATATAGTTATTTCTGAATTATCTAGTGTTATCTCTTTCTTTAAATTTCTTTTTGATATACATTTCCAATTTTTAACATATGACATATAGCTTGCTCTCATTAGGCATCCTACACCTTCTGCCGCTCTACTATCGATACTGACTCCGCTGTACAAAAATACATGTTCTTTATCCAATTCATCAGTTCCTTGACCTTTCTTTTTAGTTTCCGTGATCGCCAAAAAATCTAATTGTGCTTTGTCAAATTCATCTATTAATTCTCTCTCTTTTCCATTAAGGCTTCTGACGTTCCACGTAGTCATTTTTATGTACGTTTGTATTCTATTTGTACCTTGATCTTGTAATAAATTTTCTTTGTTACAGTTTTCTTTTTTGTCTAATTCAATTATATTGTTAAACCTTATTCTCGCCTTGTTTGGTATTCCATGTTGATCAGTTCTATTTGGCCGATGGTCTGCTATTTCTTCCTGGCTTTGTTGAGAGCCTTCATCTCCCTGTTCCACGGCCATACTTCTCCATTTATTATAAGTTTTTGAAACCCCTTTGGACTGTACTCCCTTTACTCTTTTCTTCCTTAGCTTTAGCTCTAATTTCTTTTTGAATAATTCTCTGCTGTTCGCTCATATCATCATTTATATATACTTTGTGTTCTCTAATATTTCTTAGTTTGGCTTTATTGTTCATAAGTGTGTATTTACTATCTTTTAGTTCTAATAAACAGGTCTTTTTCCAGTTTTCATTGCTCTTTATATTTCAATCTCAATGTTCAGGTGCACTTATAAATCTTTGCATATTGCTGTTCACTGTTTCTACGTTATTTGTTTCTATTAGTAGTCCCTAAATTACTACATTATTTCTTCTTTTCTCGTTCTCAAGTCTTACAATTCTGTCCAGTGCTTGTATAAGATCTTTCTTGATCTCTTGATTTTCTTTCCTGATTTGCGTATTTTTCTTTTTCAAATCTTGAATTTCTGTTAGACATCTTTTTTTTTCTTGTGTTATTTCCTTCGTTTCTGCTTCTATAAATCGTTGCAAGCCTTGGATCCTATCCATTATTTTTTCTGAGTTATCTTCTTTTTTCTCTTTCATGTCTGGAGATCTTTTAGTTTTTGCGCACTTTCCACTTTCGGAGATATAAGGGCAGTTGTTTATGTTGTCTTTAAATCTTTTTTGGACGAGTATACCTACGCGTGCTCGTGCTTGTTCTTCTTTCTTCACTCCACGGTATGCTAGAAAACATTGGATATAGTCCCTTTGGCTTTTACCTTTCTTCTTGGTTTTTTGAAATGCACAAGTGTCTATTAATGGTCTGAAGTTATTTTTAAAAATTTTAATTGCTTGTTTATCGACTTACTGATGTAAAATTTAAAAATAAAGATACCAGTATTGACAAAATTATATTAGGAAATAGAGTTGTTAATGTTGTGAATGGAAACCATTTTTAGTAAAACACTTACTCTATTTGAAACTACTTCTGCACCCTGTAGTACCGCATCAGTCACAGTTGAACACAAGTCTACATAAATATCTTCTAATTCCTGAAACAAGCAAATTAAGTAAGTAATATTTATTCCAAAATATGTTGTAAAAGATCAATTAAAACAAACCACTTTAACATAACTTGTCATACATTTATATATAAAATATATATTATAAAACATTAACTTAATTATATTAGATGTCAATATTACAGTTATCGAATATATTAAAGAATTTCCAAAACTCGGGACCAATAGATAAAATTTACACATATAAATACAATGAAATATTATGATGCTTCAATGTCCAGCTTTCAAGTCCATATTGCGCATAGGTATGATATTGCGCATGACATTTGACAGCTGGGCCAGCTGGCCCAGGAGTGTGACGTAGACAAGACAGCTAGAAATGGCTTGAACTCATTATTACAGCTTAACGTACACATGAATTTTGAAATTATGGTCAAAAAATGATCGATTTTTTTTTATTAAATGTTTTGTTTTGGTTATAATTGAATAAAAAATATATTTTCAGTAGCGTAAAACCTTTACTTTTCCTGGGGATTCATGCGAAATATTTATTTTTGTTTTCATACATATACTATTATTATAAGTACTCTTTTTGTAGAGGAAATACTGTGAATGTACAAATAATATAATATGAATATAAGACAGAAATTAGTTCAAACGCAAAACAAAATAAATATCATTCAGACGACTATATGCGGTTATCAACGTTGACGATGCAAATTGCAAGTTATGATATAAGTAATAAATATATTTTAAAGTAGGTAACTTAATAGTGACAGATGAATCTATTTGATAATAGAAAAATAATTTAGATATATGCTTACATATTATTATGTATGTCTCTTTATACAAATATCCATTTCGCAAAGGTTTAAAAAATTTGATGGGTAAAATTTAACCGGTGCCCGTGTCCCAGACCAGCGGGTAAAAAATTACCAGTAAGGCACATCTGTGTCTGAGACTTGTGTGTACTTGTGGTGTTGAGTTACTGTTTATTTATACTGTATAGTATTTTTTTTTAACTCCGCCTGGGTTGTCTGATGGGTGGATTGAGTAGCTCATCGGATAACACTGCCGGTCCCAAGCCCGGATAAAGGATGAGGGTCCCCATGGCAAGGCTAGCCACCTACCTGGGGTAAAGAAACCCATATTGGCTCACAGAACTGAAGATTCAGCCTCGGATACCGGACGGAAATATCAGATGACGACACACGCTATGACAATGGAAAAACGAATTGGTAAACGAAAACCTAAAGACCCCATCACACGAATCGCGTGCTGGAATATTACGTCGTGGAACGGAAGAGACCAGGAGATCATAATAGAAATGAAGAAACACAATATTGACATCTGCGGAATCTCCGAAACAAAGAAAAAAGGCCAAGGAACATCAAAATACGGAGAATTTATACTCATATACAGCGGGAAAGCTAAACAAGAAAGAGCGCATTCAGGAGTTGGAATTTTGCTGCACGATAAATACTCGCAAAACATCGAAGATATCGAATACATCAACGATAGATTATTAAAAATCTCTATAAAAATGCGTAACATCACAACACACCTGATAAGCACGTATGCCCCAGACATATCTAAGCCCACAGCAGAAACTGAAAATTTCTATCAGCAACTACAAAACGTCGTAGATAACATAAATACGAAACACAAAATTATCGTACTCGGGGATCTTAATGCACGGATCGGAAACGGTATCATACCAGGTATAAAACAAAAGTACAACGAAGAAATATTTAATGAAAACGGCGAAGCATTAATAGACTTTTGCGCTAGAAATGAAATGAGAATCAACAATACATACTTTCCTCATAAAGACCAACATAAATACACTTTTAACAATAATCGAGGCCAGCGATCAATGATAGATTTTATAATCACAAATCGAGCGATAACTCCGTCACAAGTACTTGATGTCAGAGCACTAACATCTGCTAACCTGGGGACTGATCATAACCTTGTTTTATGTAAGATGCTACTAGAACGTCCGCAACGAAACAGAAAATCCCCAATGTTCATCGAAAAACATAATATAGAGTCGCTAGTAACAGAGAGTACAAAACTGCTTTATGAGAACAGGATTACTAGCAAACTAAAAGAGATCGACTTAAAACCCGAATGGGGAGTAGAAGATACTTGGCAAAAAATTAAGAAATGCATCAACGAAGCAGCAGAAGAAGCGATTGGAAAGCGGAAAATTAACACGAGAGCGACAAACCACACCAAACCGTGGTTTTGCCAAGAGGTAAAAGAACTCTCTGAATTAAAACGCAAATGCTACCTGAGATATAAAAGCACGCAATCGGAAGAAGCTTATGCAGAATATGTTCAAATAAGAAACGAAGTAAACGCCAGAATAAAATCAATCAAAAGAGAACATTGGGCCAAATTCACTTGCGACATGGACTACGACCTATATGGTGCCCAAAAGAAAATATGGAAAATGCTGCGCAACAGGAAAAAACCAGTTAACGAGTTCGTGCAGACCAAAGGAGTACCTATAGAGACATGGCAACAGCATTTTAAAGAGCTATATGATGCTGAAGAAACGCTGAATATAAACGAACTCGAAACAGATGTGAGTGCTACAATCAATGACGAAGAAGTAGAAGCAAAGATCAAAAAGCTAAAAAACAGAAAATCACCGGGAACGGATGGTATACCCAATGAACTTTTAAAATATGGAGGCCCGGAACTTGCAAGTAAACTGGCACAACTATTTAACAAAATATTAAACAAAACAGAAACACCAGAGGAATGGCATAATAGTATCACAATCCCCATATTTAAAAAAGGACAAAAAACCTGCCCACAAAACTATAGAGAAATAACCCTCTTAAATACAACAATGAAACTTTTCACGGGTATTCTCAAGGACAAATTGGAAAAGCAAATCACTAATGCTGAAGAACAACAAGGTTTTACAAAAGGGCGGTCTATAACAGACGCAGTATTTATAATAAAACAAATAAAAGAAAAAGCTATAGAGTTCGGCATGCCAGCGTATATTTGCTTCATTGATTTGACGAAGGCATTTGACAGAGTTCGCCTGGAAGACATTCTAAATATATTAATAGAAAATGAAACACCGACCAGTATAACAAAGATACTCCATAACCTAAATAACAACAACGTAACCAAAGTTAGAGCAGGAGACGAATTCACTGAAAATATTCCAACACCGGGAGGAATTAGACAAGGCGACAGTTTAAGCCCCTTCTTGTTTAATCTTCTCATGGGCAAAATTATCAACAAAGTAACATCTCTTAATCTCGGATATAGAATGGGCAACAAAAGAATTGGTATGGTGTGTTACGCAGACGATGCAGCAATTATTGCCGAATCAGAAGATGATCTCCAAAGGCAGCTCTTTCAGTTCTTTCAAACAAGCCGACTACTAAATATGAACATCTCTACCAACAAAACTAAATGTATGACAATACCAAAAGATCCGCTCAGATGTAAGTTAGTGGTTGAGGACAACCCTATAGAACAGGTGATGCAATTCAGATATCTGGGCATAGATATATCAAGCACCCACGACCCAGTAAAGGACCTGAGGAGTCAAATTAACAAAGCATCTGCACTGTCAGGATGTCTGCGGGAGATAGTCTGGTCAAATCCGTATATGCGCACAGATAGTAAAATTAGAATCTATAAGACTTGCATACGACCGATCATGACATATGGCATAGAAGTGCGCGAAGATACCAACAAAACGAAACAGATCTAAAGGTTGCCGAAATGAAAACCCTAAGAACAATAATGGGGAAAACAAGAAGAGACAGAGTGAGAAATACAAACATTAGAGAGCAGTGCAAAATTCAAGATATTGTAAGATGGGGAAGGCAGCGCAAGAGGATGTGGTACAACCTTGTAAGACGAATGGATGAGAATAGACTCCCAAAAATTGCCCTAGAAAACAATCCGCCCGGTTCAAGACCCCCCGGAAGACCACCTAAAAGATGGAGGGATAGTTGGCAATCTACCTCCCAAGAAATTAACCAGAGGCAGCTTCAGAATTAAACAGATCGAAAGATCTACAAAAAGTAAAAGAAGAAGAAGAAGTATTTTTTTTGTAAAACTAAAAGTTTTTATTTGTCATTGCAGTTGCTTGTTGCAATAGTGACAATGAAGATAAAATCTTTAGGTTTTATACATTTTCTAAAGATTTTTTGACCACAAAATTGTGGATAATATCTTGTTGTAGACAGGATAATTTTAACTGTAATACTGCAAAAATTTTTCTTAACATTTTAAAACTAAACACTACCAAAAAAATCTACACCAGGAGCTTTTAAATTACGTTTTTAAAAAGGGTCTAAAACACAAACCTGAGGCAGTACCTAGTCTTTATTTGCCTAAATCAAAATCTGCTACTCTTTCAACTAACCGAAAGAAACGCGTACAAAGAGCCGAATACAGAGATTCCAAAAAGTATGTTGAGAAGCTTCTTACTACTTCTAAGTCAACGACGTAAGTCTAAATCTTTATTTTTATTAATTATTAGTCATGAAAAATAAAAAATATCAATGCATGAAACAATAGTTATGTAACTAGAAAAAACTCCATTATAATATCTTTCATTTTGTAGATTAACGAAGACCCAGAATTCATATGAATATATCAGTTTAAAGCATTTTAACATGTTACTCTAAAATTGTTGTTATTTTTTTAGATAGCAATCTTAAATGGTTCTTTCATATCGATTTGTTAAGTAAGAAACTAGCCTCAGCCTGCTATGCAATTTGCAATAAGAATTGTTTCGGAGGAAATCAAGCATCTTCTAAAATAACATATTTTTCTTTGTTAAATCATGTTATCATTATTTAAATATATAAAATATAAAATATAAACAATACCAAGATAGTTTTATGTGTAAATATTACAAAAGATGTCATTTCAAATATTGTGCAATATTGTGTGACCTCACTACACTCATATTCGATGGCCAGCTAGCTCATCCGACCTAAATAAAGTTGACTTTATCGTTCTTTATTTTGATTTTGTGTTTA